AAGCCCCCCCCCCGACTACTATCCAGGCCCCTGGCTCTCTGGGCCACCTGGAGGACTCCCCACCGCCATCCCTTCCCCAACCGTGGCTTGCTTCCCCATGTAGGTGCTTATTCTTTATTTTGTGACGTCCATGCCCCCCCTGACTTATCTAAAGGCCCCCTGAATGACAAAACCCTGGCTACGGGCCTGAACTTCATCAGAGGACCCCTAATTAGACTGTACAGTACAGATTACAACCATACTGCGATGTAGGCTCTCCAAGTACAGATTTGCATGGATAGAGAGAGACCCAAAGACCACCCAACGCTCATTATGTGATTAGAAGCCACAGTAATTCATCAGTGGGGGTGGGGGAGCAGAAGCCAGGAGGCTGGAAGAAAGGCAGACAAAAGGCAAAGAAAATGAAAGGGGCTGATTTCCATCCAGAAAGGAGCTGGAAGGAACACACATCACGTATAAATTTAATTTATTTAATTTCAACTCGGTGTTGTCTCCCTTCGTTCTCAGAAACAGAGAACTCTTTCTTTTGTGCATCTAATCAAAGAACCAGAATAGTACGGAGCACCTTTTGATAGAGCTTTGGGATTTTCTCTCATTCTGCTCCTTGGAAAATGGGGGAGGGGGGGAGAGAAACTGGCAGACTGAGCGACTGTTTGCAGAACAATACCAATCGTTAGCAATTTTTTCTTTGCACAAACCCAAGCTGCCCTAACTCTGTAATTAGTTCCATCCCACATTTTGCTCCTGTGTTCCATGGAACCGGGCACCTCCTTACAAAGTACCTCCGAATGTCCTCAGAGTTTCATTTGGCTTCCTTGATGCTGGAGGGAGGCAAGACGAGAGAGAGATCGATGTGTAGAGACGATTGCGGTCTTAGGACAACCGCTCCCGAACATTCTACTACCTGTTGCATCCTGCTTGCAGTGGGTTTCTACCCAGACATCACCAGCTCAATTTACAAAGAGACATCGGCGTGCAGTTAAGGTTGCTACCCTCCAGGTCGGGCCTGGAGATTTCCCAGAATTACAACTCACTTCCAGACTAGAGATATCAGTTCCCTTGGAGAAAACTGCAACTCTGGAGGTTGGATTCTATAGTATTATACCCTGCGGAGGTCCCTCCCCTCCCCAAACTCCGCCCACTGCAGGTTCCAAACCCAAAAATACGCAGCAGAGATAGTTGTGTAATCCTTCAGGGCAGAGTCAGTGTGGCTTGCCCATGTACATGAAGGCTGTACAAAGTTTGTACTTCCCTGGCGGGATTCCTCCCTCTTTTCCTATCCTGCAACTCATGCAGTTTCTTAATACTCTTTCCAGCCCTGTGCTTTACAGCAGTTTTACAGCACTGTGAGTCAGCAAGATTCATAGTGCTTTCAGGAGTTAGCCAGTCGCTGTTTATCATCTCAAGGTCTCAGGAGGATCTAAGCCCAAAAGACAAGCCAGAGTGAGTTGCCTTACATAGCCCTGCTGGTGGACCTCCTGACGGCACCTGTGTTTTGGCCACTGTGTGACACAGAGTGTTGGACTGGATGGGCCATTGGCCTGATCCAGCATGGCTTCTCTTACGTTTTTATAGATGGAACACTCTGTCTGGGGCAGTGATGCTCTGTCTTCTTGGTGCTAGGGGGGCAAGAGGGGGAGGGCTTCTGGAGTTCTGGCCCTGCTAGGGAACCTCCTGATGGCACCTGGGTTTTGGCCACTGTGTGACACAGAGCGTTGGACTTGGCTGGGCCATTGGCCTGATCCAACATGGCTTCTCTTCTGTTCTTATTATAGATGGAGCACTCTGTCTGGGGTAATGATGCTCTGTATTCTTGGTGCTTGGGGGGCAACAGTGGGAGGGCTTCTGGAGTTCTGGCCCCGCTGATGGACCTCCTGATGGCACCTGGGTTGCGAGCGTTGGACTGGATGGGCCATTCTTTTACATTCTTATGTAATTGCCTCCATATGTGCTTAGCCCTGAATCTCCTGCTTCTGTAAATAAGCCAGTCTTGAGGGCTGCAGACAGACTGGCAGTTTGGAACAGTATTGCGCTGCCTGTATTTGTGGCAGTTTAAATAGTTGCGGGAGTGGGATTCCTCCCTCTTTTCCTATCCCTTGACTCATGCTGTTTCTTAATACACTTTCCAGCCCTCTGCTTTACAGCAGTTTCACAGCACTATGAGTCAGCAAGATTCATACTGCTTTCAGGAGTTAGCCAGTCGCTGTCTATCATCTCAAGGTCTCAGGAGGATCTAAGCATAAACATGTATCCAAAGCTCTGGCTCTTTTTTGACAGCTCCACAATCTCTCTGCCAAGTACTCCGGCCCCTCTCAGCCTCCTTCCCTTTGCCTCTTCTTTGGCATACCGGGGGTGGTGGTGGTTAAATTGCAGATTTACATGAGAGTAGTCCCATTGACTTCGGTGCATTTACCCTTGTGTCATGCTCTCAGACTTTGACACTGAAACAGGAGAGAGGGGCTGGGGTGTGTGTGTGGATTTGTTGCTCGAAAACAATTCCCCCAGGGACTTCTGATCTAGAATGACTACTTGGCTTTGACTTCTAGGGAAATAAGAGCTCCTCTGTTTGGAATTGCAAATAAATGATCTGGAATTATATGAACTATATGACGACCCTTGAAAGGATTACAAATAGCTATATTTTAATAAGTACCACAATTAAAAAGAAGAAGAATCGATAAGAACTACTAGGGACTTCATTTGGATTTTTTATATGTTATATTCTCATAACATACTTTATCTTGGTTTGCTGAAATTATAAAACAGAATGACTACTTGGCTAGGATGATTGACAGCACCAGGGGCAATTCTGCGCTTATGCGAACATTGCTACCTGATCCCCCCAGCAAAAGAAGGTGGAAATGGAAGGGATGGTTCAGACTTCCCAAGTGGCTTGATTTCGCAAGAGGGGAGTTCAGACATCCAGAAGCACCGGATGAGTGTGCGGGGATCCATTAGCGCTGTCTACCCATCTTAGTCTTTTCCATTCACTTTGCCTGGGTCCTTCATGCCTCGGCCTTGGAGCAGGGTGGGCCCCAAATGAAGAGGGAACTGCCTCCCCAGTTGAACCCTTGAACCAGTTAGGGTTGCCAACCTCCAGGTAGCACCTGGAAATCTGCTGCTGCTACAGTTGATCACCAAACGACAGAGATCAGCTCCCCTGGAGAAAATGGCTGACTTTTGGACTCTATGGTGGACTCTATGGCATTGTACCCTCCTGAGGTCCCTCCCTGCCCTCCAAAATCTCCAAGTATTTCCCAGTCTAGATCTGCTGACCCTAACCAGAGTGGTGGCAAGCATCCAAGGAACTTATGTGCTACGGGACTGAAGGGTGCAGGTGGAAAGGAGGGGGTAGGGTTGCCAGTCTCCAGGTCGGGGCTGGAGACCTCCAAGAATTATAATTGATTCCCAGATAACAAAGTTCAATGCCCCAGGAGAACCTGGCTGCTTTGGATGGTGGACTCTACGGTATCACATCTCTGGTGAAGTCCTTTCCATCCTCAAATCCCGCCTCCCCAAGCTCCACCCGCAAATCTCCTGGAATCTCCAAACCCATTGCTGACAACTCCATGAGGTTGGTGTGCTCCTTGGAAGAGACTTCCTATCCACAACGAAGCCCTTCACGGCCTCACCCCTTCCAACAACTGAAGGTAACAGGGAAAATTTCGATTCTTCTGCATACTAACTAATATACTCCACATACCACCACGTGTGACCCTCATGCCTGGCCCTGTTGTTCTGTTTTCATTCTCTGTATGGGATTCTCTATGAAGAAAGGATAAAACACTTGGGGCTCTTTAGCTCGG